TCACCGTGCTTTCGGATTATCCGGAGTTCTATGCAGATTGGTCCGAGGATGACACCAGTGAGCTTTTGATGCTGGCCTAAGAGGCGAGTGATGAGGTTAGCCATGCATCTATCCCAGAGCCTGCAGATGGTAATCATACTGGGGCATTCTTTCAGTATTTTGCTCAACGAGCTCTTGAATCCGAAGAAGTCTCACGTCATCGAGCAGCAGCTCAACCCCGCTACCTACAAGCTGCCCAGGACGAAGCCACACGCCGGATTGAGTTTCTTCGTAACAGGTCCAATACCTCTGAATCTCCTATTGAAATCTCTCCTGACAAGCCTGATGATTTAAATTCTGATGCTATTAAGTCTGTTATGCCTATTGTTCAATCTGATAATACGAAGGCGTTAAGTTCTGCGAAAACTTCTGTATCTGTTGATCCTCCGTGTATTCTCTCTGAAAAGTCTGACCCTACAAAAGATGTTGTTGATGTTGTGTCTGATGAGAAAAATAGAACCTCTGAATTGGGCAACAATCTAAGTATGGTTGTGTATTCTGTTGATACTGCTAAATCTGCTCTGCCTTTTGCTGAAATTGCTGTGTCCTCGTTTGAGATCTGTCCATCTGATAATCCCTTAAGTCTGCCCACTGAGATTGAGACTGCCAGTAATTCAAGCCCTCATGCATCTGATCAAATAGATGGGGTGCCTGTCTTTACATCTTCATCTTTGGCCGAGAGCCTGGATCACGTCCGACATTTTGCAGGTTTACCCTCTGCCTCGATTCTAGAACTGTATCAAGTTATTCATCCTTCTGAGTCCTCCAGTGAAGACGAGAAGATCCTTGCAGAAGTGTATGGCTCACAAGCCCTGATTTCTAAACCTCCTACTGTTGAAGCTACAGCGCATCCAGATTCAACCACTTTCAAGATTCGAGAAATTACAAACCTTCTGGGAACCTCATCTGCCCCAGTATCAGACACAATTCACTCAGTATCACCAAGTATGTAACACCCCAGATTTTCAAGACTTTTAAAACTTATATAATAAAGATAGAATCTCATTAAATCCCAAAATATGATACAAAGAGTACGGGGTGCTATGCCACACCCGAGCTAGAGAACTCGGGTGCACAGGCTAAATTCTAAAACCTCAATCAGTATCAATACTAAATCATGGCACGCAGGCCGAAAGGGAAAACTATCTAAGCTACACCCCAAGCTTCTAGCGCGCTCCAGTGATCTACTCGTCTGTGCCTGAAAGCCAAATATATCTATTCAGCGAGAGATGCTGGTAACCCACTCCAACGCGTCGAAATACGATACATATAGACATATATATAGATATACGGAAACCATTTTGAAGCATGAAGATATATCCTAAGAAACTCTAGCTTTCAAAACAGGGATCGACTCAACAGATAGGGCTAAGCACGGACAGCAGTTATACCAAGCATATACAGTTTACAACAGGCAAGAGAGGTAAGATAAGCACAATTAATAATCATAAATAAACATATACGATTCCCAGTATAAATCCCATAGTCACATTCCCAAGACACCCATAACCACAACTCATCCGTATCTCATCACATAGCGCACTTTGTTGGCGCCACAGGACCAATCGCATGCCCATACATGAGGGTCAGCGCATATAGCTCTGACACGGCCCCACAGCACCCTGCCCCGTATCGCAACACGGAGGGGTCGATCGCAACCGACCGATGAACCGCAGCTCATCATAGTTTGATCACAACCAAACAGTGGACCGCAGCCCAAGAGTATGTCATCTGACCGCAGCCAGGAAATATGAACCGCAACTCATGTAGAAACGTTTGATCGCAACTAAACGGTGGACCGCAGCCCGGGAGTGTAAATCTGACCGCAGCCAGCATCTAAACCGCAGCTCAGGAATAATGTAACACCCCAGATTTTCAAGACATTTAAAACTTATATAATAAAGGTAACATCTCATTAAATCCCAAAGCGTAACATAAGTGTACGGGGTGCTATGCCACACCTGGGCTAGAGAACCCAGGTGCACAGGCTGTCTAACTACTATCCTCCGAAATATAAATGCATAACATGGCACGCAGGCCGAAAGGGAAACTACACTACTTCTACGCTCCAGTTCTAGCGCGCTCCAGTGCTCTAATCCTCTGTGCCTGAAAGCCAAATATATCTGTTCAGCGAGAGATGCTGGTAACCCACTCCAACGCGTTGAAATACAATACATATAGAGATATATATAGATATACCAAAACCATTTTGAGCATGAAGATATATCCTACGAACTCTAGCTTTTAAAACCGGGAATGACTCGACAGATAAGGCTAGACACAAGCAACAGTTATAACAAGCATATGCAGTTCATAACAGGCAAGGCAGATAAGGCAAGGCATAAACAGTAATCATAACCCAACATAAACAATCCCCAACATAAATCCCATAGTCACATCCCTCAAGGCACTCATAGTCACAATTTGTCCATATCACACACATAACGCACATTGTTGGCGCCACGGGACCGATCGCATGCCCATACATGAGGGTCAGCGCATATAGCTCTGACACAGCCCCGCAGCACCATGCCCCGTATCGCAACACGGGGAGGTCGATCGCAACCGACCGATGAACCGCAGCTCATCATAATGTTTGATCGCAACCAAACAGTGGACCGCAGCCCAAGAGAGTGTCATCTGACCGCAGCCAGGATAAAGGACGAACCGCAGCTCGTATAGAAACGTTTGATCGCAACCAAACGGTGGACCGCAGCCCAAGAGAATGTCATCTGACCGCAGCCAGGAATACCAATCTGACCGCAGCCAGCTTCTGAACCGCAGCTCAAGATAACCAATCCGATCGCAACTGAATTGGGGTAGCACACACACATAACACATAGCAAGCACATGCAACCCACGTTACACATTGGGAAGGGGGATAAAGCGTATAACAAACCTATGCGTGATCCATCACATACTAAGAATAGTCCTAAGGGGTTCATACTTCCTTCACCTAGGTCAACGGGATACCAATTCATCTAGCATGCGATATAACAGACTCATAAACCTACGAACGGTACCCGGAACATCAAACTAGACATAGGCACGACAAACAGAGTCCGTTGGGACACCACGGGGATCGGGGAAACATCGAACGGGGAAGTCGAAGTCCCGAGTGGGGTGAGATTCCAGAGGGTAGCCGGTGGGTGGGGGTCCACCCGCGGGCTGCCCGCGGGCTGTCACTGTTCCGGGCAGCGAGTGCCCGGCGGGCAGCTGCCCGCCCGCCGGCTGCCCGCTGCCGGAGCTACCCGAGATTGCCGCGGGTAGGTGGCGGATCCCCTACCCCCCACTGACTCTTTTCACCACTTTTCGTCCCGGGAACCGTTGTGGAACCCGAAACCATGCTTAGACACTTTCCAACGTAATTAACGACAACACATAGACAATTAACGGATCAAATACGATAAACGAACGGCACATAACCTAACATGCTTTTCTAATCATAATCAACACCCAAACATGCGATTTCCCACCCGATAATCCAAGAATAAGATCATACGATACAACCTAGGGTTCTAATCACTTTTATATCAACAAGAATACGGTTCGTCTTCTAATTGCAAGATTCTGTAGGAACAACACATAATCATCAAGGATACCAATTAATCATCAAGAACATCATAATCGTCAAGAACAACACATAATCATCAAAATCCCAATTAATCATCAAGAACATCATAATTATCAAGAAACTCCCAATATCAAGATTATCAAGATTCCCCATGGAATCATTAAATCAACATCAATAATAATCATAGTAATTCGCCATTTACAATCATATGGGGGAAACCCTAAGGGGAAATCATAGCTATGAAAATAGGTTTTGTTGAGACATGGGTTACCTCTTAGCCTTAATTAATTCCTTGGCTATGAAGGATCTTTCTTTAAGCTTTCTTGATTTCTTGATTTCTCCTAGGGGAATTCTTGGAGCTCTTTGGGTGGTGAGTCGTTTATTGTGGTGGGGGATTCTAGGTGCCTCTTAAGTCCCCTATTTATATATTTAGGAGTCCTAATTAGGAACTAATATTATAGGCTTGCTAATTCTATTCCTTTTGGGACTAAGGATTGGGTTCCATGGTCCATATTGGACCATATTAATTAATTAAAGAGAATCTTAATCATAGTAAAAGACCTACTTCCTTTATTCCTAATAGATAACTAGGTCTAGGATTCCTAATCAGAATCTGAATAGTAAAAGGTTTTACTTTCTTTATTCCTAATAGGCTTAGGGCTCTAATTTAGGCAAGGGCCCACGGTTCATGGTGGGCCTTATTAATTAATTAAAGGGAAACCTAACCGAATTAAATCATATTTAATTATTATTAACGGGATTAATTAAATAATTAATCCGGGATTGAAGGCCGTAACACGGGGTGTTACAAATAACCAATCCGATCACAACCGAATTGGGGTATCATGCACACATAACACATAGCAAGCACATGCAACCCACATTAACACATTGGGAAGGGGGAGAAAACGTATAACAAAACCTATGCGTGATCCTTTACATACTAGGAATAATCCTAAGGGGTTCATACTTCTTTCAACTAGGTCAACGGGATACCAATTCAACTACCATGCAATATATAAGACTCTTACAACCTACGAACGGTACCCGAAATATCAAACTAGACATAGGCACGATAGATGGAGTCCGTTGGGACACCACGGGGATCGGGGGAACATCAAACGGGAAAGCCAAAATCCCCAATTGGGGTGCAAACCAGCGGGTAGCCGGTGGGTGAGGGTTCACCCGCCGGCGGCAACCATTCCGGGCAGCGGGTGCCCGGCGGGCAGCTGCCCGCTCGCCGGGTGCCCGCTGCCGGCGTTGCCCAAGAAGGCCGCGGGTAGGTGGCGGGTCCCCTACCCTCACCTACCCCCCACTGACTCTTTTTCACCAAAAACGCCCCGGGAACCTTTGTGGAACCCAAAACCATGCTTGGACACTTTCAAACGCAATTGATAACATACGTAGACAATTAACGGATCAAAGATCGAGAAACATATGGCACATAACCTATCATGCTTTTCTAAATATAATCAACACCCAATCATGCAAATTCCCACCCAATATACCAAGAATAATTTCATACGATACAACCTAGGGTTCTAATCATTTTTAAATCAACAAGGACACAATTCATCTTCTAATATCAAGATTCGGTAAGAATATCACATAAACATCAAGAACATCCTACAATCATCAAGAACATCATATAATCATCAAGAACGTCATATAATCATCAAGAACACCATAAGAACCTTTCATCATCAAGATCACCCATGGAATCATCCCATCAATCATCAATAATAATATCACAAATCATCAATACACAATAATATGGGAAAATCCTAAGAGGGGAATCATAGCTATGAAAATAGGTTTTGTTGAGACATGGGTTACCTTTTTGCCTTAATAAATTCCTTGGCTATGAAGGGTCTTTCTTAAAGCTTTCTTCTTTCTTGATTTCTCCTAGGGGAATTCTTGGAACTTTCTTGTGTGGTGAGGGATTATTGTGGTGGGGGGTTCTAGGTGCCTCTTAAGTCCCCTATTTATATTAGGAGTCCTAATTAGGAACTAATATTATGGGTTTGCTAATTATATTCCTTTTGGGACTAAGGATTGGGTTAGGGATAAGGGCCCGTGGACTATGGTGGGCCTTTCCTAATTAATTATTGTGATTTAATTCTTTCTTTTGGGTAATTGGCTAAATGATTAATTGGTTTTAGGGATCGTAACACGGGGTGTTACACTCTCTCCCCCTTAACAGGAAGCTTCGTCCACGAAGCTTGGTCCTTGTCGAGTGGCTTCTTCTTAGTTACCTGGTGTGAAGAGTTCGGGGTAGCGTTCCTTCATTGTGTCCTTGAGTTCCCATGTCACTTCCTCGGTCCCATGGTTGGTCCAAAGGACTTTCACCATTTCTATAGCTCGACGTCGGGTGGTTCTTGTCTTGGTGTCCTGGATTCTCACAGGTTTTTCTTCGTAAACTAGTGACTCGTCGAGGTCCACGACCTCGGGTTGAAGCACGTGGCTTGGGTCGTGCACGTATTTCTTTAGCTGGGATATGTGGAATACGTTGTGTACTCGTTCTAGTTCAACGGGTAGAGCGAGGCGATAAGCTAGGTTCCCAACTCTTTCTATGATTTCATAGGGGCCGATAAATCGTGGGCTGAGTTTCCCTTTTCTTCCGAATCTCATTACCCCCCCCCCCCCGTGTGGGCGAGATTCTCATCCAGACTTTGTCCCCGGTGTTGAATTCGGCTTGTTTCCTCCTTAGGTCGGCGTAGAACTTCTGGCGGTCCTGGGCAGCCTTCATCCTTTCCTGGATGTGTTTGACCTTGGTTATGGTATCTTGTAGGTATTGGGGTCCTAGTGCTACTGGGTCGACCATATCTTCCCAACATAAGGGGGTTCTACACTTTTGTCCGTATAGAGCTTCGTAGGGCGCCATACGAATGCTTGCGTGGTAGCTGTTGTTGTATGAGAATTCAATAAGGTCTAGGTGTTCCTCCCATGTCCCTTGAAAGTCTAACACACAGGCTCTAAACATTTCTCCAGGAGTCTGAATGGTTCTCTCGGTTTGGCCGTCAGTGGTGGGGTGGAAAGCGATGCTCAGTTTTAGTTGTGTCCCCAAGGCTAATTGCAGCGATTTCTAGAATTGTGAGAGAAACCGGGAGTCTCTATCGGACACGATGTTCCGGGGGATTCCGTGGTACTTCACTACTCGGCTCAAGTAGGCTTGGGCCAGTTGGGTCATTGTCCATGTTTCCTTCATGGCAATGAATCGCGCCGTTTTGGTTAGTCGGTCCACTATGACCCAAATTTTATCCTTGCCGGTTTTTGTTGGGGGTAACCCTCCGACGAAGTCCATAGATATGGAATCCCACTTTCCTTGTGGTATCTCAAGGGGTTGTACGAGTCCCTTGGGTTTGCATCGTTCGGCCTTCACCCTTTGGCAATTTAGGCATTTGGCTACGAAATCTGCAATTTCCTTTTTCATGCTGGGCCACCAAAACGACCTTTTCACATCTTGGTATAGTTTGTCACCCCCCGGGTGAACTGAGTATGGGGAGTTGTGCCCTTCTTCCAAGATCTATTGTTTCAGGTGGGGGTGCGTCGAGGGCACGCACCACCTACCTTGGTAACGGAGACTGCCGTCTTCGTGTATTCCGAAGGGCCCTTCTTTCCCCTGGGTTAGGTCGAGACGGATTTTATCTAGTTCCGGATCCTGCTGTTGTCCTATTTTGATTTCCTCGAAGAGTGTTGAATGTTGAATAAGTGGACGTCGGGGTGGATTTGATCTTGCTCTATTATTTCCAAATTCAGTCTTTGGAAGTCCTTGTACAGCTGGTCCGGTAGGATCCAGGTGGTGTTGAGGGAGTGGTTAGTTTTTTTTGCTTAGGGTGTCTGCCACAATGTTGGCTTTCCCCTCGTGGTATTGGATGTCTAGATCGTAGTCTTTTATGAGTTCTAGCCACCTTCGTTGTCTCATGTTTAGGTCTTTCTGGGTGAAGATGTACTTTAGGCTCTTATGGTCCGTGTAAATCTTGCATTGTACCCCATATAAGTAATGCCTCCAAATTTTTAGTGCGAACACGATAGCGGCTAGTTCGAGGTCGTGGGTGGGGTAATTCTCTTCGTGGGTTTTGAGTTGCCTGGATGCATATGCTATTACCCTGCCTTTTTGCATTAGCACGCACCCCAATCCCTTTTTGGACGCGTCACTGAAGACCTCGAACCCTTCCTCCTCGGAGGGGATGGCGAGCACGGGTGCTGTGGTTAGCTTATCCTTCAATTCTTGAAAGGCCGAGATGCAGTCGTTGTCCCATCGGAAGGGGGTTTCCTTTTTCATGAGTTTGTTGAGGGGTTGGGCTATCTTGGTGAAGTCGGGTACAAACCTCCTGTAGTAGCCAACCAAGCTTAGGAAACTTCGGACTTCTGAGAGTGAGCTCGGTGTGGTCCATTCTTTAACGGCACGGATTTTGGCGGGGTCCACCTTAATTCCTTCCCTGGTTATCACGTGACCTAGGAAGGCCACACTGTCTTTCCAGAATTCGCATTTAGTGAACTTGGCGTATAGTTGGTGCTCTCTCAGGGTCTGCAGGGTTATGCAGAGGTGTCTTTCATGTTCTTCCTCGTTTCGGGAGTAGACTAAGATGTCGTCAATGAATACAATGACGAAGTCATCCAAGTGGGGTCGGAATACTCGGTTCATGAGGTCCATGAATATGGCGGGTGCGTTGGTGAGTCCGAAGGGCATTATTGTGAATTCATAGTGGCCGTAACGTGTCTGGAAGGATGTTTTCTGAATGTCTGGTTTGGCCACTTGTATTTGGTGATATTCGGACCTTAGGTCAATTTTTGAGAATACCCCTGCCCCTTTTAGTTGGTCGAACAAGTCATCGATCCGAGGGAGGGGGTACCTATTCTTTATTGTGACTTGGTTAAGTTCCCGGTAGTCGATGCACAGGCGCATGCTTCCATCCTTCTTTTTAACAAATAGTACTGGTGCTCCCCATGGGGAGGTGCTGGGGCGGATGTACCCTTTATCTAGCAATTCCTGTAGTTGTGTTTTCAGTTCCTTCATTTCTTTTAGTGCCAACCTGTAGGGTGGTTTAGAGATCGGGGCAGTGCCAGGTATGAGGTCTATGGTGAACTCGACTTCTCTGACTGGGGGTGCCCCGGGGATTTCGTCCGGGAAGACGTCGGTGAATTCGTTTACCACTGGAATGGTTTGTGGTCCGGGGGTTTTGGTGTTGAGGTCCTCGACCGAGCATAGGAAGGCCTCGCTTCCCTTGTTTAGGTATTTCTTCATTTTCATCATGTTCACCAATTTGATCCCTGATTCCTGGGGGGTCCCGTGATGTGATACCCTTTTACCGTTTGGTCCCCGTAGGACCACTTTTTGTTCTCCGCATAGGATTTGCGCTTGGAATTTCCCTAGCCAGTCCATGCCCAAGATCACTTGTACCCCATCCAGTTTGAATTGTATTAAGTTGCTGGGAAATTCCACCCCTTGGATGGTAATCATTATGTTTTCGTACATGCGGTCGCATTTTATGATTTCGCCGGAGGCCACCTTGACCTGAAGTCGGACCTTGGTGCTGGTGTTGAGGCCGAGCTGAGTGGCAAACTCGGTTGCTATAAACGAGTTGGTAGCCCCTGAGTCAAACAATATAGTGGCGGGGGTGGCGTGTACCAGGAAGGTTCTGGAGACTGTGTTGTTGTCTCCGACCCTGGCTTTGCTTAGAGTAAGGATCCTTTCCTAATGGTTGGCGTTGAGACCTTGCGAGGTGAGATGGCCCTGGGGTTCTTAGGCCCTCGGGTGGGGTTTGTGTGATCCCCCTTAGATTTCCTTTTGTACCCCAGACGTGTCTCCCGGGGTTGGCTTGATACTTGTTGTAGTTGGGATGCCTTGGCATAGGCTTCCCCGAGGGTTCCTGGCTCCTGTGTGGCCAGGGCTTTTTGGTGTTCGGGATCAAGGCCTGTTATGAACTTCTTGATCTTGATCCTCTCGGTGGGTACTAGCTCGGGGATGAGGCGGGCCAGCCGGTGGAATCGTTGGTAGTATTCCGTGATTGGGGCTGCACCTTGTTTTAGGTGGAGGAATTCTTCATATACGGTGGCTCTTAGATGATTGGGGTAGAATTGTTCTCGTAGTCGTGTTTTTAGGGTTTCCCAGTTAAATTCGTGGTTTTGTTCACATGCGGGTCCCTCGTGGGCCCACCAGGCATCGGCCTCGTGCCTGAAGTAGAAGGAGGCTATTCTGACTTGGTGGTCTTCTGGGCATTTGGTTGTCCGGAATATCTTGTCAAAAGTTCCGATCCATTCCTCGAGGACCGTGGGGTCTTCGTTCCCCGAGAAGGTGGGTGGTTGAAGCGCCGAGACTTGGTGGTGGATTTCCAAGTTCTCGTTTGTTGGTAAGGGTTGGGGAATGGTAGTACTCAGTGCCTGGGCAATTTGGGCC